TAAAAAAATCAGGGATGTCATTTACAAATATATTAAAAAGAATAGGACCAAGATGGGAGCCCTGAGGAACTCCAGAGGTAATGTTACATATGTCAGAGGAGAATCCATTTACCACCACGTAAAATTTTCTATTATTAAGGTAAGATACGAGCCACTGTAACATAGAACCACCAAATCCATACTTTGCTAACTTCTCACTAAGAACACTATGCGAAACTTTATCAAAGGCCCTGCTGAAATCGGTATAAATGACGTCAACCTGCGCGTTCGAGTCTATAGCACCAGCAACTGCCTCCACAAAAGTCACCAAGTTAGTGGAAGTTGATCGACCTTTAGTGAAGCCATGCTGGTGAACCGACAGGTATTTACTAAAGTAATTTTGAATGCGTGGACAAACTAGGGCTTCCAAAAGCTTAGCGAACGCTGATAGAATTGAAATGGGTCTATAATTTCCTACTAGTTCATCATCACCTGACTTAAGAATCGGTACCACTTTTGCCATTTTCCATTCACTTGGGAAGATATCGGTGCTTAATGAGACATTATAAATCAGGGTTAGTGGAACAGCTAGAGACTCGGCACAATTTGAGATAAAAACTGGAGGAATCCCGTCCGGTCCAGCACCTTTAGACTTATCTAAGGACTTAAAGCACTTGCTGACCTCAGATTCGGCAATACAGAGCTTTACGAAACAGTCAGTGTTTTTCACAAAGTCGACAACTGAGCTGTTATTATGGATGCTATCGTGAATTACTTGCGAGTTATCCTCATACACCGATTTAAAGTGGCTAGCAAATAGGTTACAGACTCCATCACCATCAGAGCAATATATATCACCATCACTCATTACAACAGGATAATTGCTTTAACCACCCCTCTTTTGCTTAATAAAAGACCAAAAATATTTACAATTTTTAGCAATATTGGATTCTAGACATCTGACGTAGTCATTATAATTTTTAAAAGGTAGGTTAATTATTAAAAGGTCGAGGACTATTTAATATTGTTTCGGGGACAAGAAAAAAAACTAAAGACGTCATTGAAAAAGTACATAATAAGCGGAATCTGTTTGATGCCAAGGCCCAAGAGCTTATTGTCACGCGAATGCAATATGGCCTATACTCGCACACATCCAGTCATGTTAGACATCGACGGAGATATGGACGAAGTTAAAGCTAGTATATGACAAAGAGTCTGTCGTAAATGGTCGTAAGTGTCCATCTACTCCAACAGACGTTTTTTTCTCTTGCTTTTGGCACGGACTCTGTCTACACTTTTATATCAAAAATTGAAGACATTCGTGTAATACTGATAGAAGCTGGTCATCCTATTGGTGATAAAATGGTTAACGCCAAAATACTGATGTCTTTACCTAAGAGGTTTAAACATTTTCGTTCAGCATGGGAGTCTGCCCCATTTGAAAGACAGACACTTGAAGAGCTGATTCCACGTTTGCTATTGGAAGAAGAATGAGCTGACGCTGGAGACGATGTTGCAGTTGCACTTATGGCGCAGCGCAGAGGCAATAGAAGCCGAGTGCTAGTAGAATGTGTAATGCACCGCAAAACTGGTCACTCTAAAAAAGACTGCTATAAAACTAAACAACGCAGTTTTTGTAAAAAGATGGGTCATCCGACTAAAATTTGCTGCTTCAGAAATAATAAAATAAAGAAAAAGAGAGATGATGAACAGCTTTAATTGTTTCTGATAATAATAATAATTCGCACGATATATGGTATATAGGTAATGCTTGCACCCAACATATGTGCAGAAGCCAAGAAAGCATGTTGAAGTATAAGGATTTCGACTATGAACGAATTGTGCAGCTAGGAGATGGAACATCTATTGAAGCTCTCGGCGTAGGGAACATCCGATTGCAGGCTTATAATGGCTCTGATTGGCAGGTCGTTAATTTAAAATCGGTTTTGTATGTTCCAAAACTAAAGGTAGTGATGTGCGTTGACAATGCTGAGTATAACAGATTGAAACAAAGAAGTAGGAACATATTCAAACGAACAAGTACTGACATTTTAACTAAACCTCTATCACCTCAAGTGTTTAAAAGACTAGAGATCTTTTGTTTAATAGCTGCTAAGTTTTGTGGTATAGTTTATTTAATCCTGGTTTAAGTGTTAAGTTATTTAAATAATCTTCCCTTTTGTGTTCAAAACGTACTTTTATTGAGAGGGGGCTGTTGGAATTTCAATAAAAGTAGTTTGGTTTATAAATAGACAATAGTGTCATAAGAAAAATAATATACTGCTGTCATTGCTACATAGTTAGTTACATGATTTACATTATTACCTAAAATTATATTTAAATATATTATTAAAACTCCACTCTCATTCCAGTAGTCCTAAATTAAAAACGCGATCTGTGTCAAATTTTCTCCGCTTTTTCTTATTTTATTAATATTAATTTACAGCGGGCGAATTGGGTGACGCGAGGGGAGGACGTACACCTCACATCCTCAAATCTAGGCTCGCGTTGAAATATCTCGCCTTAATGTAGATTTGAAGATTTTTTGTAAGCGACTACCAGAAAACGTAACCATGGAGCGTGAAATAAGTCTAAAATATCAGGAGAATTACTTTATAACCCAGCTTTTTTTTATTATACCAAGTGATGAGACGAACAAGTCTTGCGCCTGATGGTAGGGTGCGTTGCCAATATGTCATAACGTTTTATTTATCGTTGTACGACTGTCGCGTCTAGCTTGTTCCCAAATCACGACTATAATATGACGTGACTGTGTCGTGGACGTTTATTTTATCGTTGAACGTCTGACTTGTCTAGCTGTTCTCACTTGTGTGTGTTAGATCGTGATGATAATTTATTGGTTGACGGCAACCGCCTTGTCGTTTGCACGATAGAATCATTTAAAGCTGGGATTATCTGTCGTCACATTTTTATCGTGACGTTTTATTTATCATCGCGTCGCATATTATATTTATATCGCGACAGTCTGTCGTCGTAACGTCAAAAAAGTCGTGAACGATAGTTAATCGTGTTGTTCAATGTGTGAACAACTTTATTTAAATACACAAGCGACGACGCTTTAAACTGCACGACTCTCTGTCGTCACAACATAATGGGAACGCGCCCTCAAGCGACATGCCTGTCCATAACAGTTGCAGTGCCGCTCAGAGCTTTTTGGGGAAGCGCTTTTTGTCTCGGAGGAAATCTGAAATCATAGAAGATACAAGGAAACTGACTTAGGAACCATTAAGTCTTTTAGCTGTCCATAAAAATGAATAAAATTGATCAACAATTTTTTTAGTGCTCGTCGATTCAATTTTGTGCAGGGATCATTGACTTACAAAAGTCAATGGCAGGGATTGTTTTATTGTATAGGACAAAAAAATCAGGACGGTTATTCTTGTGATGATCTTTAGTCACTATAATCTATATTTTACGGAATATAAGTAATTTATGTACTCTGTGATACAAATAAAATATAAATTCTTCTAAACGACAGTTCAACAACCTAACACGGCAACCCAACCATGAATATCTAACAAAAAAATCACTTATTTTTTTATATTTTATTTTATTAGACGAATACAATAACTTGACATCCAATATTGATTGAAAACTAGAAAATTAAAAAATGTACCTATATCAGAACGAAGTTATAGCAATATGAAAGGTACACATATTATATTAATTGTAATATAATTAAACCTGAAAACATGTTCAGAAACACAAGCAGATTGGCTTCTGGTACTCGCCGGCCGCTGCCACATCACACTCGCTTCGCTCGCTCGGCTCGTGGCGGTTTTTCACATAGTACCCTAACCTATTGAATGGAGGGCGCAACCAAACAACCAAGATTTATTACGAGATCAATATCAAAAGATAAACTGGTTACTATATATGTCATCAGGAAAAGACCAATGATAAAAAAAGACGATCAAATATTATTTTTGAACACAGAACCTTGAATGCAGTTCATTTATAATTTATCCGTAGATCAACCAATAAAGATGAAACAATTTATATATAAATATCAAACTTATAAAAATGTATAATTATTAATACAAAGATCGAACACTCAGAAAAAGCACTCAGAAAAAATTCCTTCGATCCGGTCGGAACAATTTTTTTCTGAGTGCTTTTTCTGAGTGTCCGATCTTTTGTATTAATAATTATAACAAACTAGTGGAGTAATTTCACAAAAAATAATTGAATATTAATTCAATAAAAATTTAATTATAAAAATGTAATTCATTTAAAAAAGTGCCCATTTACAACAAATCAAAATTATTTCTTTGAAAATCAAATAATATTATCCCATTTATTAATATGACTATTATAAGATTGAAAGTTGGTTTATTCATAGCATCCAGTATATTACCAGAAGTAGAGTTGAATTAAGAGCCATCCATCTCTAGCAACTCATCAGGTAAATGGGCCTTATATCACTTTTAAATAACAACTCTCGTTTGCACTGAAATCACATATTAGAAAACTGAAATAGTACAGCGCCAACAACTGACCTGTATGTACGTCTCCGTATATTCCAAAAATATTATTTATAATATTTCTTACTATGAGGGACTGTTCCGTTCGGTAGTGTGGGAAAAACAACAAAACATATAATTACCAAAGAAACAGAATCACATTTCATAGGCAATTAAATAATAAATATCTAATTTTTCAACTTTTGTCCATTATAGTAAAGCTCAAGTTAAACTTGTCGATTTGAAGTGAATTCGGGCTGGCCAATCGGAGCGCAGTTGTCACCGTAATGATATGGAAGAATAGTTTTCAAACAAATTAAATGACATTTCGTCTCTATTTCTGGTTATATACTCGATTATTCATAGCGCCTATTTGTCGCTAGTCGGTAATCCAGGGAGGGACATGTTTTGACTGGAACTGCCAATCGGCTTGAGGTTCTCGATGATTATTGCCTAAAGTACGCCAGACGTCCAGGGAATATCAATAGGGCTCCTTTCGTGCACAAAAAAGTAAAACTATGTTTATTTAAATTCCAGACTATACCAAGACGACAGGGCTGATGGTATGGCTGACGATGCTAGGAATGGCGCCCGCACAAATAATGCCCGCCGACGTGGACACGCCGCCCTTCAGCACACTTTACAAATGGAAGCACATCGATTTTGAATTTCCCACACCGAGGCATCGCAGACACGCTCTTGCTACTAGGTAAATACATTATTTCTTATCAGTAACCTATATTTACGAGTAATAACAACAATAAACTATGGAGTAATAATTAGCCACCTTCAAAAAAAAGGTGGAGCTTCTCAATTCGACGGTATATTTTTTATGTGTGTGACGCGACAACTCTGATATCTAATTTTGAGAACAAATTTTGATGTGTCTTAAAATATTCCACCTCTAAGGGTGGCAAATTAGTGGATGAATTCGGTTCCGCACACTGTCCAAGAACCGATTTCAATAAAACTTGGCAAATAGATGTAATTCCACGACCTTTTGAGATTGGTTTTTTTAGTATTCTATAGTGAGATTTAGAGTTATCGCGTAACATGCATATACAAAAAACATACAGTCGAATTGAGAACCTCCTTCTTTTTTTGAAGTCAGTTAAACGATTTGTAGCGACTGTTCGTTCATTCATTCGTGTTTCAAGGTGCCGTTGCCGTATTTTAATCAATTGGAAAATCGGTTATTTCGATATGGAAATATATAAATTCAACTTATTTTCTTATTTGTTAAACAAGACAGAGGATACCGGTAATTAACTATGCGACCCGAAACACGATTGACTAAACTTCAGTCGATATTTATTTTTTATTACGTACATCCACCGAAAAATCAGTTTCATTCAATTATTATTAAAGGTATTTCAATAAAGTTTTCTCTTCCGCGATCTGTAGGTAATAAGTACAGTCATATACATGAGATACCTGACCCCCTAACATGCCCAAACCAACCTTTTGTGTCAGAGAGCCATCTTACGTATTGAACAAAGAAAATCAAAGCAATTTCAACTTGAAGATAATCAACATATTTTTAAAAACAATACTTAATTTCATCATTTAACTTAAAAGTAAATAGGTCGAGCGGCTTGTTGTATCGACTGCCAGTTACAATACCCGTGGTTCGATTCCACGAGCACGCTTTTGTTTTAACGTTATATTATTAACAGCATTGTTTCACTTTTTAATGTTAACGTTGAGAAATCACAATATTTGTTCACTAGAAATTGCCTAAGGTGGGTGGGTAGATACTGTTAATAAAGCGTAGGGTGGGTATGGATAGATTAACAAATCACGAAATCGCTTTGCAGTTTGCATACGATCGTGTCTTCCGTGATTACGCATTGTTCCACGTTTCGTTCCTATTTGTTTATTCAGTTTTAATTACTTTCTAGGTTTTAGTAACTTTCAAAGTTTTATTTCTTTTATTAATATGCCGCATTTAACGTAATTATTAAAATTAGACCATTGACTTACAAATAAATGGACGACGGGTCTAATACAAAAACCACGAAAAAAATGTCCCAAGTCAACCTATTCGAAATTTAAATTGTAATGTCATCGCAGTATCGCGCTGTCAGTCGAACAAATGAAGACTAAATCGGAGTTTGGCGCTCTGTATACGATTTTAGCGCCTTACAAGTGCGGACACTTTTTAGCGCGGACCCGACGTCCATATAATTGTAAGTCAATGAATTAGACAATATTGTTCTGTATGAACATGACTTAGACATACCTTGCATCTATCCAGACGTTAAAAAAAAAACAATATTATATTGTCATAGCTAATTAATATTTTATTTTTAATGGTACTCGAACCATGCTTGCCTCAATTTGCAAGGCAATCCTTATACCGCTAGGCAACGACGGCCTTACTAAAGCTGGTTTAAATTTGTATTCTATATTTAAGTAAGAACCGTACGTTAAAGATCGAACTAGCTTAAAAACTTTTTAAAATGTCATTCACTAATGAGACGACCAGGGAATCATACCAAAATAAATTATACGGCCCACAGGTTAAAGATTAAGTTTGTTCAACAATTTTCTCCATATTTTTGTGCTCACAAACAAAAGGTCGACAAAGTCGGGGGGTTAGGTATCTTGTCTATATGACTGTACGTCAAGAGGCCATAAGCTTACTTTACAACAAGAGAGTAGATTTCATTTCTCAAAGGCAAATGTTTAAATATCGTGCACTGAATTTCTTCGCGTCTACCTCACACGCTTCAAAGCCTACGCAATAACGATATCATGACATCGTCTTAACAGATCTAGCCTGAGGGACTTAAGAAAAAATTTACTTGTTTAGTGAATGTATGTTTAGACATAAGCAAACTAATCCGTTCAGAGATATTTTGAAGGTGACCCATGTTTTACACCCATTGTTTCGACGTTCTTAGCTTATATGTTCTCAAATCAGATATTAATTTCTTGTTCTTTTGATGTTTCAGGAAGTACATAGCCGAGAATGTGCTACCTTTAGGCCTGGAAGTGTGGGGGACACGCGTGTGGGTCACCTTACCAAGCTGGAGGCGCGGAGTTCCAGCCACGCTAGCAACAATACCACGGTCTGGAGGCTTACCATCACCTGTTCTTAAACCCTATCCAAATTGGTCTTTCCATAGGGCTTTCTGTAAGTGCCTTTCGTGTTATTTTGTGTGATTGACTATTTAAAGAGACGTTAATTTCAAAGTAAACTATTCATTGATGTTGATACGATAAGAATTATCTTATTACCATTAGGTATGATCCACAAATCCACTCTAAATCCCCACTGCTGGGGATCACTACACATTTGTACCCCACTGTGAAATATCTTTAGTATAGGTACTATAAAATATATCGAATATCTCATGTATTGCTATGTGTATATTCCAGATAAGGGTAAAAATTGCTCTGGATTAACTTCGGTATTTAGAGTAAATGCTGACTCTTGTGGCAGACTGTGGGTTCTGGACTCCGGGCAGATCGACTCCCAAGACGATCCAAAACAAATCTGCCCACCGAGTATGGTCGTGTTCAACCTCAAAACAGATGAGTTGGTAGCCCGATACCCAATACCGCAGAAATATGTTCTTCAAGATTCCTTATTTTCCAACATCATCGTCGATACGAGGAAGCCCGACTGCTCAGATCTTCACGCTTACATTGCAGACACGTGGCGCTTTGGTCTGCTTGTCTTCAGAGAAAGTGATCAGAGGTTTTGGAGATTCTCCCATCATTTGTTCTATCCAGATCCACTGGCGTCGAACTACAGCCTTCATGGACTTAGTTTCCAGTGGGCAGATGGAATTTTTGGATTAGCTCTCTCGCCTATCAAGAAATTTAAGGAAAGAATACTATACTTCCACTCTATGTCTAGTTACAGAGAGTTTTTTGTGTCCACTGATGTTCTACGTCAGCCTTCGCGCACTAACAACAGCGCTAATGATTTTCATCTGGCTGGCGAGAGTAGAGGATTATTCGGACAGGCTTCTGCTTCAGCCATCGATAGAAGAGGCATCATGTATTACGGCCTAGTGACTAGAGATAGTATAGGGTGCTGGGATACGCACAAGCCGTACAAAAAGTCTACTATAGGTGTGGTAGCGAAGAATACAGAAACTCTTATATTTCCTAACGATATAAAGGTTGACATGGATAAGGATCAGAGCGTGTGGGTGATTTCGAATCGCTTGCCGATGTTCCAGGCGGGCCCATTGAGTGCCGACGACTATAATTATCGTATACTATTCGCTGACACGTCGGAAGCTGTACGAGGCACAATTTGCGACCCCGAAGTACGTACCACACCCGCTTTCTCTCTGTTACAACGGGGTTGGTTATAATGGATGATCAAGCCGATGATTAAAAGACATTAAAATTTATTTAAAAAGATATAATTACTTCCGAGTTAATCATGTAGATATAAAGTTGGTGAATTAGCGTACTCCGGAAAAGAAAATGCCATAATTTGTATTAAAAGTGCCTTGGTAAATAATTGTCTTCACAGTCAAAAGGACAGTGATATTATAACTGGTCATCTAGTGATAATTTTATGTAATTCTATATAATTAATTATAAAACTTAAATGTGGTACAGAATAATCATTGCTTTTATTCATTAATAGCATAACTGGTTAGCTTCAAAATTGCTATTAGTAACATATCAGGCGCAATAGCGCCATAGAAATGGTAATAACCATTTTGCAGTGAAATATATATAATATGTAAACAGGATAAGGGAAAATTAGTTATAAAACACAAAGATACGACGTAATTTTTCCTATTTTTAGCTATTCATTAAACTGTTTTCATGGCTGGCAATAAATTGTTTTCATGTCATAGAAGCTGCTTCGTTTTTTTTTGTAAAACTATCGTCTAACTCGACTTAAGAAGTTGTAAACACTTGTAATTACACATTATAATATTAATTAAAATAAAACGGCTTTACTGTTTTCTTTTTGTTGCCGTTGAACGAAGCATTATAGATATATACTAATATATGCATATAATACTTAAACAACTTATTCTTGCAAAATTTAAAGCAGTTAAATTTTTTACAGCTAATTCTGGGAAATTGAGTTACTTTAAAAATTCACATATACCTAACTTTCTTTACCTACGTACCTCCTATCCTGTTAATTACTTGATAGTGTATATGTACATATAGGTATACCACAAATCCCACACTGGTAGGGACTGTTGGACTTTTTCCACTAAAAAAATGTGTAGTATTTAACCGCTCACCAAAAAAGCAAGATTTTTCACAACCAAATATGCCATGTTCCCAACAAAAGTACTGATTGCACATCAGAATACGTACATAAAAAGAAAATTAATTTAGCATTATGTACTAAAATTAATGCACAATATTTTATCGCAATGCATATCTAGCTTATAAATACATAAGAAATGAAACAATCTCTCCGGATTTAAAATCGCGTATATTTGTATTTTTTTCAAACAAACCGACGATCGGGACCTGTAAAGGGCAGGGCGATTTAAATCCGGAAAAATGGTTTCATTTCCTATGTGTAACAATCGCGAAAACCTAAGAACTCGATATCTAAATTCATATCTAATATTTCTCGCACACAACAAACGTATGACCACAAATTTATGAGAAAAAACATACATATTTCACTAAAAGGTACATCAGTCTATCGGAATGAAACACCATTTTATTTGACATAATGGTCTAATTGCACAATTTGTCCAAAACAATAAAATCAACAAAAAAAATTCAAAGTCTAATGCTTGAAAATCGTAGTATTTTTTTGTGCGATTTTGTCCGATTAGAACATTTTTGGCGTCTGCTGTACCACATACATGAGCCGGATCGCGAGCCCTACGACTGTTTGCATTTATAGTTTTTTGAAAAATGAAGGCAGTTTCATTTGCGCAGCGTTCTAGCAAAGTCAAAGTCAAAGATTATTTATTCCATAGGTAAAATAAATTTACAGTGGGAACTGTATTGTAATCTGTTTATCATAGTATAATAAAATATTGTGGTGGTATATCGTTGAAAACGTGAATTAGGGTTACGAAATAGCACGAGCGAAACTGATTATGTGTTGTAAAGTTGATGTGAATTTGACGGGACATTGGTGCTGAAAATCAATGCAAGTGTGATCGGCACTTTAGGAATCTGTTCCACAAATCCCCAAAGCGTAGATCTAATTATCACCACAAGTTGATGTAATGATTTTTGTAAATGAAAATAAAAATGTGGAAAGACACTTATGTCCACTTGCACTAAACCTAGGTACGTCTTAAACCAATAATTGCAATGCAAAAGACACTCTTAATACATTGCGTTAAGAGTGTCTTATCAATTTAAGCATTGGTTTAAGACATACTTAAGTTTAGTGCAAGTGGACATTAGTCTAGTTTTCTGACGGCAACACAAAACAAATAGGATGATAAGTTTGGTGGACGAAAAAGCGGGAAGCGACAGAATCAATAGTCGTAATTCAAAATTGTAACTCAAACCATTTCATGTGCGATTTCTAGAAAAGACCAAAAAATCTAAAGCTACTTTTTCATAACAGATCTCTAACTACAGCAAACCAAAGCATTATGTGTAATAAATTAGTTTTCGAATGCATACATCTAAGTTGCGCAACTGACAGGCCTTCAAGAGTAACAGCATACGGACATACTAAATTCGAACTACTGCAGTCACGGACGTGCTTTATTTGCCAGTGTTCATTACTAGAAACTAATAATTTACATTTGGTGTATATTTATTACGAGAAAAATAAAAAATAAATGTGGATATAATTACTGAATGTTTGCAAAAAATAAAAACAAAATTGAGTAAAAATCGTATGTAATTACAGCCAGTGACAAACGGGTAATCAAAAGGTGTAATAATATTCATTACTAAGAAAAAATAAAGGTAAGCAAATGCTCTTTACTCTGTAAAAAGTTATTCAGGTACTGATTTATTAATTATTTATTTTATTTATTCTTTATTTATTAGATTTGCCAACAGAAATACACTATTGTTCATGAACAAACAATAACATTACATAAAATACTCGAGTGTAAACCCAATAAAAGGCAAATACAGCATGCACATATCAGAAGCTCGTGTCTAAAGCATTTTTGTATGTTACATTGCAGACAAATTGATGGATAAAACAAAACCAATAAGTAAACGTGCCAAATTAAACTGTGAAGTTATGGATGGATTATTAATAGTAGTAACCATGTAACTTACCTATGTTTACTACCATTTCGTTACCATTAACAAGTTATTTTAACTAAGCCTACACGACGTCGACGACCTCCATGATCAAGTGACTTGCACGCCGGTTTTCATGGTGTAGCCGTCTCTTAGGTCCCGGATTCGATCCCCTGACGGTCAATGTAGAAAACAAACTTTTCTACATTGTCTCGGGTCTAGATGTTTGTGGTAACGTCGTTATTTCCGCTTTTCATAACTCAAGTGCTTTAGTTATTTTGGGATCTAAGCAACTTGTGTGATGTTTTCTAATATTTATTGTACTATTTATTGTTTACAACAGTCTCATATCTTTCTACTCAAGTTTTAATTATAGGGACCCTATACACCTCTTGGTTATACGGGAAGGGCACTATAACCTGTGCAAGCACAGGGGCCATATAAGTTCAGGTCCTGACCCAATATCAGCCCGTGGAGAGGTTTGTTACAGACCGCTGTCGCGAACTTCATGTGGTTCTCAAAAGGCTAGTGCCTTGGGTGAGCTGCACGTACAGCACCCTCCACAGTGAAACGCTTTTGCGAATCGCGTTCAGGGATCAGTTGGTGTACATCCAGTGCATTTGGCCAGACCGGCAAAATGATAGTGACGGAGTGAAGATATTTGTGTTTTCCATCCGTTACTCTCATCTCTGGACTGTATTCGCACTTTCCATCAGGCGCGGTGCAGTCATTTTGTCGAGTCGCAATAAAAAAAAAAAAAAAAAAAAAAAAATTTTCCAGATAGGTACCGGAGCTGTTGGCACGCTCACTTCCCGTTGCACATAGCACAACTAACGGTTATCACCGCTAAGCCGTTGACTTTAAAGTCGACTACCAAATCTGGGTGTGTTTCATCTCTACTTTGGTGGCGGAGCTATCGGCACTCACTTCCCGACGACGTAGCATTTATTAATTTTTTTTATATAAAAAATAAGTACGCATTTGACCTCCATCTCACCTGGTGGGAAGTGACAATGAGATCTACGATGTAGCATGCACACCTAAACAATGCCTATTCACTCTCGAAAAGGCCCAAGTTATAACGTTCAGGGAACAAGTCTGCAGGCAGGGAATTCTACCCCATAGCCGTTCGCCATTTAAATGTGGAAGCAAAACGCTTCGTGCGTTTCCTTGGAATATCCACAACATAGGGGTGGAACCCCAGACTACACCTAATCCCCCGATGATGGAAAGGTGAAGGCGGAATCAAATTATCCAATTCCCAGAAACCTACGCGGCTGGTGAAACCGGAGGATAAACGACAGCATGAAATATTTATTCAAGTGTTAAATGGAATTGATTACATACTTCCGGAAAATCACATATATTAAATAAAAAATGTACTATTGATAAATATTAATTTAGTATTAGTAGTAATAGTACTGCTACAATAAACTTTAACTAAAAATTTTTCAGTAAAAGTTATTAAAAAACCGTTACTGGTACAAGTAGAGCTCCTTGTGCAAGTATTCATCCAGGGAAGTACTGCCACCTTACCTATTTCTGCTGCCAATCAGCAGGTAGTTGAAGGGTAAGGGTGTTGGTGAGAGTACAGGCACTGTCACACACACAGGGACTGTCAACTTAATATATCTAAGTGTGATAATAGATCTTTATGTTTCAAAGCTCTGAGTGATACTGCAACTGCTATGGACAGGCGTCTCTTACCATCAGGCGCACGACTAGTATGTCCCGTCACATGGTGGAAAACTTTTAAACTGGAAAAAAATGTGGAAAACTTTTATTAAGCGTTCAATATACTATATTCGCGCCAAATGCATTGTGCTTTTATTTTTCTCATTCCTTTTGCATTCCTTAGATGAATGTACAGTTAGCAGCATGTTGAGCTATACACTTTAAAGTTTAATAAATTTAAAAACTTTTTCAACTAAAGTTTACAAAGTTTACTACAACCCAAAATAAAACACAAACCGCTCGGCCAGCCTGTATTACACTTTTATATGATACCAAGTTATGCTTTATGTTATTTATTGTTAGTTATGCTTTATGTAGTTAGTTATGTAGTAAGTCTACTAGTCGTGCGCCTGGTCGCAAGAGACGCCTGTCCAAAGCAGTTGCAGTGCCACTCAGAGCTTTTAAACACAAAAATCTGAGGGGCACTGCCACCACGCCCGTCACCCTGTGACATTTTATATTAAGTTGACAGTCCCATGTGGCTGTATAGTGTCATCAGCACCCTTACTCTTCAACTACTTACTGCTTGGCGGCAGAAACAGGTAAGATGGCAGTACTTCCCTGGACGAATAAAAAATAAAAATAAACGGCTAAGTTTTTGGAAAAAAAAAATATTTTATTATTTTGAGTATTTTACTAGTGTTCAGCTAAATGTGCCGTGGATGTATTAATCTATGACTTTTCATCATCGTGTATGG